TGAGATGGATTAGGAACCCACCCCTGCTTGGAACGTGACTGCTGAAGGGAGCATTGCCCAGTGTGGAGAAGGGGACTGAGGTTCCTACAGCTCATCCCTGTGTCTTCATTTGAACCCCAGAGACAGTAACAACTAGACACAACTTCCCTGGACTCTGCCTCCCCTCCAGCCAAAATGGAAGCCAGGGGTCCTAACTTCTAGCCACCTCCCCCCCTAACCCCAACCTCCTCCCAGAGCTGGGAACAGAGCCCAAGTCCTGGCTCCCAGCCCCTCCTGCTTTAGCCACTACACCACACTGCCTTGCTGCAACATCAGTGGCTGGTGTTACACTAAGCAGGAGTGGCAGGAGATCTTCCAGTGAAACTGAAGTTGAATCAATGGGTGGGAGATTGGCACAATCCTTACTATGAGTCCTTTGGATGCCTTCTTCTCCATGATGAAGTACAGGATCAATTACACCAGGATCTTGATGTGTTTGATTTCTACATTAAACCTGGGGGCACAGACACTGATTTCCTAATGCTCTCAACACCTGTAATTTTCCAGTGTATTGCACCTTTACATTTCTAGCTGTCGGTGGCAGGCAGGGCTTTGTGTAGGGAGGAGAGATGAAGCTTGTTACAGAAGAGAGACACACATTGTACCCTTTCTTTCAAGCAGTACAGAGATGGGGATCTCACTCCATGGGTCCAGTGGAACGACACCAATTTATGCCAGCTAGGGCTCTGGGATTCTGCCTAATGGAATACTCTGGCTTTGTATCCTGTCTCAAAAGCCAAGTCTTTCCAGATGGAAGATCATTGTACACACTGCAGCATGAGGCATTTTTCCCTGCTCCCCTACCTGGTGTCCTTGGTTATGCTATTCTTAAACATCTAAATCTATCTAACTTACTAAGCAATAACATCATGAGGCAGGGAGTCCCACAGGCGAACTCCCCATTGCATATAATGTTTACTTTTACACCAGGTGGGCACTGAATTTTTGTTAACCCCCCCCCCGACTTTGTATTATAGGAAAAGGGGCCCAAAAGCACTCTTCCTGACAGGCAGGATATTCATGCCTCATCAGTGTGGGGTTGCAGGGGACTCCTCAAGAGTGAGGCTAGAGCGTACTGGAGCCTGCCCCCTCCCTGAGGGATTATACAATAGTCGAGTAACTGATAAGAATTAATGTGATTACTCGACTATTCAATTAATGGATATCTAACATCCCAAATTATGGCAACCTTGGAACCTCAGACAGGGACCAGGGCAAGCCAAAAGGACCACAAAGATGGCTCTGTCCCAAAAAGAAAACTGAAATTGATTTCAGGCATCGATGGAAGAGCTGGCTAGGCCCAGTGGGTACTTATACCAAGCCAAGAACCTATAGGGTTTCTTTCCCCAAAGATGGTCGAAGTTCTGCCTATTTTATAGAGGGAAACTGAGGCATGGAACAGGGAAAGAACTTGCCCATAGTCACACAGCAGGCCAATGGCACTGCCAGGAATGGAACCCAGGAGTCCTGACCCCCAGCCTACCCCAGCTTTAGCCCCCCAGTCCCTACTTCCCTCTCTTAGCTGGAAATAGAACCCAGCCCCGCTCCCAGCATGGATTTGCTCTCAATGCTGCGTCTGGCTCTTCCTGGCTGGCCCGGCTCAGCTCAAGCTCCTGCTGACAGCCCCACTCTGTCAGACCAGGCAAATCCAGCTCACATGGGACCCTCTCCCCCTCACCTCCTGACCCCCTCACTAGCCTGCTCGACCTGTCAATGAGGCTGACCTGGAGCATTGGCCTCTCCCCATTGCTCCCGGGGATTGTCAATCTCAGAGATTTGATTTCTCAGTGAAGGTTCCCCTTCATTTGGGTACTGGGGGAGGGAGAGTTCACGAATCAACCCCTCACACTGAGCTTTAGGCAGCAGGCCCTGGGACTTACACATACCCAAAAGCCAGAGTTGCTGACGGGGCAGAGGGGAGGGGCAGGGGGCAATTGCCACAGGACCTGGACCATGGATGGTCGGTGCAGCTGAGGCTGGGAGAGGCAGGCCCCTAGCCCCACCCAAAGCCCCGGGGGGAGGGAGAGTTCACGAATCAACCCCTCACACTGAGCTTTAGGCAGCAGGCCCTGGGACTTACACATACCCAAAAGCCAGAGTTGCTGACGGGGCAGAGGGGAGGGGCAGGGGGCAATTGCCACAGGACCTGGACCATGGATGGTCGGTGCAGCTGAGGCTGGGAGAGGCAGGCCCCTAGCCCCACCCAAAGCCCCGCCCCCCTGCTGAGGCCCCGCCCACACCACAGGGAGGAGCAGGGTGCCGAGTGCGTGCGCCCCTGCCCCCATGAGGCGGCGAAGAGCGTGCACGCTCAAGCCTCCCCTTTTGGGAACAGCAGGAGGAAGCCCCGACCTGAGCCTCCCCAGTGCCACATGCACTGCTGAGGAGGCTCCTGCTACTCTGCCTCCCCAGCCACCCTGAAACCTGCCTGAGCCACACTAAACACTCCACAGCAAGCCCACATGGCAGCTGGAGGCAGGGAGGGAAGGGGAGGGGAGGGGCATGGCCAGCACAGCTCAGCTTTGGGTAGGCACAGACTTGCTTTGCTTTGGCACAGCCTTGCTTTGCCTTAAAGATCTGCGGCCCCCGCCAGCCACTGTTGCTACTGCGGCAGTGACAGCAGCTGGAGCCCTGGACCCCTTTGAATCGCCATGGGAACGGCCAAGCACTGCTCTGATGGGCTTTGCCGAATGGAAGGGGGAGCCCAGCACCCGGGAGCTGACAAAACAGGGAGCGTTCCACTTAAGAAATGTGCTGAGTTAGTCGCAGGCGCAGCATTTCCCCTGGGTCACGGGCAGAGAAGTGGAACGGAAACAGCTTGCGCAAGGGGCAGGATGGGCTCAGAGCTCAAGCACAGCCTCGTGCCAGTGAACACTTGGGCTCCATTCCTGGCAATGATGCGTGACCGTCAGCAGGTCCGTGCCACTGCACACACACCTTCTCCCCAGGCCTACGGTGGCTGTAGGGATCGTTGCTGGGTCCCTAAGCCAGAGGGAAAGGACCCAGGCAGTGAGTGCTCACACTTCGCCCTTAAGAAGCACTTTTAATCAATAGATCTCAAAGCGCTGCGAAGGACCAGAGCTCCAGCAAAGAGCAGCCAGGAGGCTGGGGCGCTTGGCTGCAACTGCTCCCAACTGGGCTCCCGGGGCTCTTCTGTGGGCTACCTTGCTAAGCAGCAGGCAGGCAGGCGAAAGAGGCTAGCTGGGGGCACGCTCAGTCATCCAGGGCTGCTCCATCCTCTAGCCCCCTTTTCCTTCTATGCCCTTTAGGAATGGGGCGGGGGCTCCAGCCACATGTACCCAGAACTCTGCTGCTCTTCCCCTTCCCCTGACAATCAGGGAAGGAGAGGAAAATGTGCAGCTGGTGCTCTTGCTTCTGGCTGCCCTGGGGAGAGCAGAGGAGGATGCAGCAAGCTGTGCACTTTCCCCTTGCTCCCAAACAGGGGAAGGGAAAGAAGAGCAGCAGTGCCCCGGTATGTGTGGCTGCATCACCGTGCCCCTCCCACTCACCCCTACACACCCCAGGCTCCTGCCCTTACTCCAGAGCCCCCCACACCCTCACACCCTGTTCTGACTCCTGCAAGCCCCTGTCTCCTGTTCTGAGCCCCTCCTCACTGCCAGGCTCCTGACCTGAATCCTGCACTGCGCACATTCCCAACTGCTGCCCGGAGCCTCCCCCACACACACAAACTAACCCCTTGCCCTAAGCATCCTACACTTAAATTTCTCACGGGTACTGTTCTGTCACCACCACCCCCAGTTCCCTGTCCTGCGTTCCTGCAGGGGGGTGCGATACGACAGTACTTGTAAAAAACTTAACTTACTTTCACCCCTGGGGCACAGGGGCAGCAGCAGGGGGTGCAAACCAGCGAGGTCAATGGCACCGGTGAGGGGTGCCCACTGGCCCCAACAAGAGCTTGGGCGAAAGAACCGAGCTCTGGCCCATTGCTTCCAGGAGTGGGGGCCCTGGTAGCAGAGCAGACAGGACTCTGCAGGGATGCCTAGAAAAGCAGGGCCAGTACTGAGAGCGCTGGCTAGATCCCTCAGGCACTCCAGCTCCCAGACTGCACTTCCCTGTGTCACCACTAGGAGTCTCTTCAAATCCTGGCTTGCACTAAGCAGTCATGGCACAGGCAGTGCTGGCTACACTGAAGTCATGGGGCAGCACCACTGGTTATGCCTGGCGGCGCCCCGTGGTGTCAGGGAGCCCTAGGATCCGCATTCAGATGGAGCATTGTGAGGATTCGGGGAACAGTTGCTTGTTCCCCATTTCCAGCTGCTAGAGGTAAAAACAAGTGAGCCAGTAAACTTTAGGGTATAGAAACAAGACCACTTGAGGAGGCATTTTAAAAGGCACCCGTGAAATCAGGCATCCACAGTGAAACTCGTTATACAGTATTGAAATACCACAGACACGCGAACTGTCATGGTTCCTTTCCCACTTTGGCACGATAAATGCAGAAGCGGGGGCCAGCAAAAGTACTCCAAAATCTTATCTACCGGGCTTTGATATCAAACTTCCCCCCAAAATCTTAACAACCTAGATTTTGGGGATAAAAACGCCGCTGCCACCACCCAAGTATTGATACAAAAATCAGGGGAGAGATCACTTGGGAAATCTCACCCCTAAAGAACAAACCAGAACACAAAAATTAACCAATCCCAGGTTAATAAAAATAAAAGAGAAAGAACTTTTATTATCACCACAATATTCCTGTTGGAAGCATAATGACTAGATGGAAAAGTAACAAAATAATATACTCATGAAGAAACTTCACCATGAGCCGAGAACTTACTTACAAAGGAAATCCAAAACATTTTTTTAAAAGTGCACACGCATCAGATCCCATTTATAATGGATTTATCTAAACTTTACCCTCTTTACAGAAAGTGAAGAATGGTTTCATGGAGAGAGAGAGACATGTCTGTCTCTTCCGTAGCTAGAAAGGAACTGCCCAGGACAAAGGAGGGAAAAATCAAAAAATGCCTTTGTCCCAGTTTGAAATTCCAACCTACATTTCTATTGGCTGCCTGCCACCTGGTTTAGTCAGAGACATAGTTAAACCCCTTAGTCCACAGGATGCTGGCTAACCCTCATGATTATGACACAAACCCTGCTCAGATTCCAGGGAAACAGAGGATTGGAAAAATAATAATAAATACAGAGAAAGGAAAACTCAGAAAAGCAGCAACAGTTCCAGGTTGGATTAAGCGATAGATGCTACTGGCCCACGTCCAGGGCTCTGACTTCTGGCTCCCATCAGATGATAAGCAGCTCAGGTCTCGCAGTTCTAGTCCTCATGGATGCAAAGAGGAAACCTAACAATGTGGCGGGAGTGCAACTGTTTTAACACTAGATTATACAAGCCAGTGATAGAAGAACTGAGGGGTCCTGACTGCCAGGACCCCAAGCTCTAATCCCCACCCTAACCCCTTCCAAGCCCGCAGATTTAACCCACAATCACACTGACTGCCGAGACAGATGGGAGGCTGGTTTAGAAGTTCTGATCCTGCTGCTGCAAGTGCTTTAATGAAGGCGGATTGAAGTCCTGCAAAAAGCTCCTCCTGCTCCCAAAGCGCGATGGCAGCTCCTGCCTCCTGGCCCAAAGGTCAGCCCTGCAAGGAACGAGAGACACCGGCATGGTTCCGGAGGGGTGGGATGGAAAACACAAACTCCCAGGAGAGTTTGGATCTCGGCTGAGTGGGATCAGGCCGTCTGTGCATGTGGATTGAACCTGGACTTCAAGCTCCCAGAGTAGCAGATGTCCATATCTATTGGCATCACTGGTGCTTCCCCCAGTGGCAAACCAGCTGCACTGGTGCCAATCAACATCTCTCCTTTCTCCACCGTTTGCTGGCAGGGGCATAACCAGGAGTAGGCCTGGGCCTACACACTTAGCATCCAGGCCCACTCACCCACAGCTCTCTTTCTATCCTACTACAGGGTGGGGGCTTGCCCCTCTCTGCCCAGGGCTCCAGCCGGACTAGCCGGGCCAGGGGCGTAGGGTCAGAGGCTCCGCCACCCAGCGCTCCTGAAAAGGAGCAGAGTCGGGAGCTTGCAAGCCTCCATGTACAACCCAAATTCCCTGCTGGGAGCGCTGTTGGTGAACAGGGCAAGAGCCTGATTCCGCCTCCTCTGTAGCACCCAGGAGGTGGAAAGGGGCAAGCTGGTGTAACAACCTCCATTCCCAGCAGGGGACTGAGGGGAAGAGAAGTGGATAGGGGGTTCAGGGCACAGATTTTTATGGAGCTCCCATTTTATGGGGCCCCTGGCCAGAGCATCTGTACCTCCCCATCTTCCAAGGATGGCAGGGGGAGAGGCAGCCCCATGGCTGATACCCCACCTGTCATTGCTCACCCTACAGTCCCATTCTGGCTACCCCCTGCTTCTTGGCCTCCCAGAGCTGAATCGAGGCTAAGCCCAAATACAGACACAGGATTGGACTTCCCAGAACAGTTAAATGATTAAAGAGCAGACATCTCAGACTTTCAGGGGCTTGTGCTCCTGGTTTGCATGTAGCTTTCATACCAACTTAACTAGATTCAGGTTTCACATCTGCCCAGTGCCGGGGAGTCCTGACCCACAGCCCTCTTTGCTCCAACCACTAGACCTTATCCTGCTCCACATCCAGAGCCCAGAATAGAACCCAGGAGGCCTGACTCCCAGTCTAGTGCTGTAACCCTGCCAGGATCTAGCCTGTGTTCTGCTTGCACCTGGTGCTGGCTCAGTGAAGATCTCAGGGCCATCGGCTCTCTTACCACTTTGCTGCTGGTGGCTAAAGTAGACATGGAGACCTCCGAATAGGACTTGGATTTGCCGGTAAACCATCGCTTGTATTCCTCCTGCACCTGGAATCGCAGAGACAGACAGTGGCATCACTCCACTAGCACATGGGAGATCTCTTCTCTCAGCGCCTTAGCCCCATTTTAACATGCCCATCACCTCAGCATCAGGGAGAATTACAGCTATTTATGCTCCCCGTCCTCTAAGCCTTGGGAAAAGATAGAGCTTTCTGTGGCAGCAGAAAATACCCATAGACTTTCTCTACACTACGGCTTTTGCCAGAAAATAAAATGCAAATGCATTTTCACGTGCTTCATTTACATAATCTCTTCCAATCCATTTTTGTACAAGGAGTTTTTGCGCAAAAACAAGCAGTGTGGCCATGGCCGTTTTGTATAAACCTCCCTTTTTGCTGAAGATCCTTATGCCTCCCCAGGGGAGGATAATGATCTTGCATAAAAAAGGGTTTTTGCACCAAAAGGAAACTTTCACACTGCTTTTTTTGTGCAAAAACCCCTTGCACAAAAAGAGATCGGAGTAGATTATGCAAATGAAGCATGAGAAAATGCTAATCAGTGCTTCATTTGCTTTGCCTCTTCTGGCAAAAGCATAGTCATAGTGCCATGCACCCAATCCTCCCCCTGTAGCTGAGGCAGAGCTTTTCAGGGAAGGGGATTCTCAGAACACCATTTCCCCAGCAGGGAAGCCAGACTGAAGTTTTCCACTGAACAGACAGGCTAAGTGGTTCAATCAAGGAGACGACAGCACCGGCAGGGAATTGTACCCAGATCTCCTGAGTGCAAAGCTTGTGCTCCAGCCTCTGGGCTATTCTTCCTCTCTCAAAAAGGGGCATCTTCATTGCTCTGCTACTGGGGATCTTGCACAGTATGCTTAGTGAAGCATTGTTAGGTCGCCCTGCTCTCCTGTGGAAGGGGCTCTGCCAGGAGGGGACGAAGGGCCCTGGGGGTACCTGGCGATTGAGGAGGCAGTGCACCAGGAAGATGAAGACCCCCTGCAGGCTGTTCAGGATGGTGAATAAATATGCCATGACCACAGCGGCTGGGCCGGTTTGGAAGAGACCGAAAATCCAAGTGCAGCCCAGAATGAAGACTTGGGCGATGGCTTTAAAGGTCAGGAGCCTGGAGAGAAGCAGACAGATAGATCTCATGACAGTAGCCCTCTAGGAGCAGCTGAGTCCAGGGGCTCCAAATGAAATGACAAATGCCTCCAGAGAGCCAAGCTCTGTCATTGCCCTGTCCAGGTATGAGAGCAGCTGGCCTAGAGAATTCAAAAGATCAATGCACAAGTTGCTCCAGGTGAACTAAAGAGCCAAGCCTCACTAAGATGGGTGGGACAGATTTTTACCCATTTGGCTCATATAACATGGCCACCAGTGCTGGCTGTAGACACATATAAACATGAGGGGAAAGTTTCCTGGGAGCAGATCTCCCCCTTATTTAAATCAGCAAATCCCATAGAGGGACAGAAGCTTCCACCAACAGACGGTCTGTCCATCTTGGCTTCACAAGAGCATCTAGCTCTGCACAAAGTGTGTTCCAGCACCTTGTCCATGCCTCGACTGAGGGACACAAACAATGGGGTGTCCTGCACCGCTCTTGGGGAACAGTCTGTCAGACTGAGGAGCTCCAAGAGCTGACACAGCACTCAGAGAGGCTCAGAACTCCTTCAGGGTATGTCTACACTACCCCGCTAGTTCGAACTAGCGGGGTAATGTATGCATACCGCACTTGCTAATGAAGCCCGGGATTTGAATTTCCCGGGCTTCATTAGCATAAGCGGGGAGCCGCCTTTTTTAAATCCCCTCTGCTTCGAACCCCGTGCAGCGCGGCTACACGGGGCTCGAACTAGGTAGTTCGGACTAGGTTCCTATTCCGAACTACCGTTACTCCTCGTGAAACGAGGTGTACCGGTAGTTCGGAATAGGCACCCTAGTCCGAAC